ATGAGATCATATATGTAAAGATGACCGTTGCTATCGCAAACACTGTAATTTACTTCAATGCGCAGCCAGGTGGTTAAAAAAAACGTTTAGTAACTTACACCCTCTGGTATCATTTCGTTACAGTTTCGTGTTTGCTTTGCTTGATTTTGATTGACGCATTTGTTTATACTGTACTGTAAAGTTTCTTTCCACCAACCCACCCACCCCGAGTTTTTTAAATTATTGTGATGAGGGTGGCACAGATATTTGCTTGAAGTTTGCTTGTACAGTGGAATTCCGATTTTTTAAACCCTCAGTTTTCAAACCTCTGGATTATTGTAAACAATCTTTGGCTCCGCCATCAAAAAAGTTAAGAAATGTGCCTTGATTTTTCAACCGAAATATGTTCCCCTAGGTGCTTTGAAAATCGAGAGTTTCGAGAAATCGGGGGCGAATTTTTCTCAACGATTTAGTTGAAATAAACTTCTTAATGAACTACTTTCTGTTCCAACTTAAAGTGAATTGTGTAGCTTGGATCGGACGATTAGTTGGTGAATTTACTTCAATAATGAGAGACTTAAAGACTCACTGCATTGCATTCATTTTTCGGTAAGAAATTAACAACATAATCTTTAAAAACACAAAACATGAATTGGGTGTTATGTATTGAAATAATTATGTATCATAATAATGCAGTGGGAGGTGCATTGCGTTGTATTCTTGGGCAAGACACTTTACTCTCACAGTGCCTCTCTCCGCCCAAGTGTATAAATGGGTACTGGCGAACTTAATGCTGGCAGTAACCCTGCGATGGACTAGCATCCCATCCAGGGGTGAGTACAAATACGCCTAGTAGCTTCATGCTACAGAAACTGGGATAAGCTCAGGCCTGATGGGCTACCCTGTTCGTATGCAGACTTTACTTTTCGCACGCACATGATTCTAAAGTACTAAGGCTAAATGGATCTCATTGTTCAATTTTTCTTACGAAAATTATTTATACACTGTATCTACAAAGGTCCATAACAAGGATAGACTTCTCCTACAAACACATAAACTAATTTGAATAAAATAATATTGATCACTAGTCTGCATGAATGTGAACTTGTGTTCAATGTACTGCTGTGCCGTCAACACTGACGTTATGGATTGAAATAAAATGGTCAAATCCACTGTTGATCAGAAATCTCAGATGAGAAGCAGATGTAACAGGAATCTGAGGAGAAAAGACACAAAAACCTGCAGTCTCACTTCAAACAATAGCTTGTACATCCAGTGACATAATTATGTGATGACCAACATGTCAAGTCAAATAGAAGATTTGAAGATTAACTAATTGTAAGTTTTATTATATGGCTACAGTAGCTCCGTGAGCTGGCAAGATGAACTAAATCCTGTGCTATGATTGGCTACCCAAGTGGGCAAGATGGCAACTCTCTTGCCCGCTTGGGACTACCCGATGTGTCCTGCAAGAAAAAATTCCCTGAAAGCCATACATATAATAAATCCTTTATTCACCAAGCTTGTTTGGTCAAGATGGCTGGATACTGGCTTCTTTCTTTTTTTGGGTGTTTATGGACCTCGAATCCGCCTTGGTCCTTAAACTTGCAGAAAAAGAACTTGGCCAATATCCAGGCATCTTGACCTCATGCTTGGTCAATGACCCATGTAACTGAGAGTAAGGTCTTTATGGGAAAATCTCAAACCAAGACCTTGATGTAAATTTGACCACATGATAGCGTAAAGACCGAACATTTGAGGTTGATACATGTAAGCTACTTATTATACATGTATGGCCTTTGCTTGTTTTTGCATGCCTTTATTCAGCCAATGGGCATTACAGGACAATAATGCCCTAAGCTAATCAGAGCACATGCTATATCCATGGCAAACACAAGCCATATAATAAGTACAGGTAATCGACCAAGTGTGACTCAGTCAAGATGCCTGGATATTGAACAACTTTTTCGTATGTTCATGGAGTGAGGTGCAGTTGGGGTCTACAAATACATAAAAAGATCAATGCTATAACTGGTATCGGCAATGTTTATATTTGATAATTTTAACATACACTGTACCTGTATCTCATCCCTCTGCATTTGACCTTCTGTATGTTCATACTCTGAAACAGAATTAATGTTTTCAATCTACAATACAGCTTGTAAAAAATAATAAAATGTTCACTGCATAATTTAACATGAATTGAAGTGTATCATGTCTTATGAAATACAGTCTATCAAGCTAAAATTGAAGATAACAGAAAGAATAAATACAATCAATATAATAATAAAATGCAAAAGAAAAAGAACAAAAAGAATTGGATGAGGAGAACTTATCTAACAGTAAAACCTAATATATATGGGTTATTGACCAAGTGTAAGGTCAAGATGGCTGGATATTGGCCAAGTTCTTTTTTTGCGAGTTTATGGACCGAGACGGAGTCGANAGCGGGCAAGATAGCTCCATCTTGCCCGCTCGGGTAGCCAATCACAGTGCAGGATTTGATTCATCTTGCCCGCTCGCAGAGCTAGCCATATAATAAACCTGTAATACATGTATTGTGTATTTTTCTTTTCCCTTGCAAACCGTTTTGTATGGCCACCAAATTCATGCACAGCTGTACCAAATACTTTTGAAAATTTTACTTTAACACAACTGCATGATGCAGAACCATACTAAGATTTGAATTTGTTCTGAATATTGTTTCTCCATTAACTTGGTTGTAATAAACACTGTTACGTTGAAATTTGGACGGTTTATTTCTTTTCATAATTCATGTACATTACTTGCAATTTCAGAGGTTAAAATTTCAGATGTTTAATTTTCGGACACTTTTTTTTCACATTTGGGACTACAATTTCAGACACTTTGCTGAAACATAGCTAAAAGTAAATTTACACTGGTAACAAAATATGAATTAGACTGGAACAACTTCAAAAGATGATAGTTTTACCGCACAGCCATCAAGATTTTAGAAATACAAACTTAAGACAAGAAAATAACACAAATTCTATCACGCCGTTACATATCTCAAGCACTGTCTCAACAGACTTTGCTCTCCAGTAAGCCTGGCATAAAGGAGACTAAGAGATTTGGAGCTACTTCAAGGTTCTATACTGTAAACTTGTAAAATAATACATGTATTTCAGATGCTTAAAACTTCAGACACTTCAAAATTTTGGATGGATTCATTTTCGGATACTTTTTGTCTGAAATTAAAATGGTGCAAAATTTTTCCAAGTAATGTACTCTAAATCTCTGAGTTTTTTAAATTTTTTTTAATGATACAAAACATTCAGTCTTCAGGAGAAGTCAGATGCCTGTCTTGAACTGCCTAACCTCGGCTACTTTCCATATACAGTCAAAAAATCCTAGAAATCTCAGTTTGAAAGAAAATGTCAATGCTTTTTGGCTATGGAGTTCTGCTTTTTTCTGGAATTTTCCAGTAGAGTGGGCTAAAAAATGCACTTATTAACCATTTTCCTTCAAACCAAACCTCAGCTGCAATTTTTGACCAAATGGAAAACACCCCCAGAGTCCAGTGCATTAGCCATTAGGCCTGATCATACCTAAATGAACATACAAGTATGTACTGTACATGTACCACATAACAAAACAACCAACCAAGAAAAACAATGAGGAAAACTATTTATGATAATGGTCTTTGTAATACAGCATGATTAATAAAGATTTAAGCAAACTATAAGTAGTTAATTTACCAGAGTACCTTTATCTACAAGGGGTTCGAAGTCCACTGGCTCTGTTTTGGTGCTTTTCTCTATGCAAAGGCCTTTAACTGCCAATAGAAAATATAGCTTATTAGAGTATTTTATATGTTCAACTCTTTTTGCATCAAAAATTTATAAATATTTACATGCAAATACATGCAGGGTGCCAGCAGGGAAAACCTTAACCAACACCAGCACTCTAACCATACAGCACTCAACCATATGAACAGTATCTCCAATTAGCTACATGCCCATACAGTAGTTGTAAATTTTCCCTCTTTTTATGTGTTTTGGATTGCCCTCTTGTCACCGTCAATATGGCATATTGAAACAGTGCTTGGACTATGTTGAAAAACCAGAGAAGTAATTGACATATACGAAGGGCGCCAACTCTCATCCACTACAAATAAATTACTTAATTTAGTTTTTAATAATTCTTAGTCAGCTGGACCTCATTGATAACAGTACTTTGCACTGAAGGGTTATGCTAAGTAAATATTGGATGATGATGATGATGATGATTGGTATCATTATAATTATTATTACTATTATTATTATCATTATTATTATTATTATTATTATTATTATTATCAAATGGCATGAGCTTTAATGATACTCAAAGTGAAAATATGAACCATGATTGGAGGGGTAAAGAATGGTCATAATGGAGTCTATAGAAAATGATGATGAGGTTTGAAATCTCAGCATTAAAAATACAAGTCTTGGAATCTTGGGTTTGCTAGTAAGAGGTTGAACCTTCTTTCAAATTGGAAAACAAAGACTTAAAAGCAAGTGTATGCACACCAAATAAATGAAAATTTAAAACATGTATTCTGCAGATTAGTCAATTTACCCGTCAGACTTATTATTACCAGCAAATGGTGTCTACTTACTGTTTGAAGATAAGATTTTAATATTTCCTATGCTCATTAATGCAGTGAAGCTGATGATGAATTCTTGAGGGAACATTCCTGTTGTTGGCCAGAATGTGTCTAAACTTCTGTGAAACAAGAACAGATACATCACTGACAGTATCTTAGATGTGGTGTCCAGGGAAAAACAGTATACATGTACATGTATCATTACACAAGAATTTCCTTGTACAAATTTATAGATATTTACAACTGTAATACATGTATGTGACTTGGTCCCTAAAGTTATCCTTCAATTACAACATATTTACACATACATCATGTACCTTCAAGGAGCAAAATTGCCAAAAAAAAAAAAAATCATTCACTGCTTAAATAACTATAAGGTCTACATGTACATGGATGCACCGATAAAAATTTAAAATAAGCATCATTTCTATGAAAAATTATCAAGTACAGTACTGAGAGAGAAATACACACAATGTACATGTATGTAGCATACTTGTGAAAGATTTTAATGAAAGTCAGGTGTCACTGAGATGAGAAGACTTCTTGCATACAATTAAATATTAAATACACGTTTTAGGCCAAATTAGAGGCATCTAAATCAAAGGGAATTTGCTCTAGATTATTCTTGTCAAATTTAGAGATGTGGATAAATTTTAATTAAAGTAATACCAGAATAATTTAAAGTATTCCCAAACTTTTAAGTGTAAAGCACTGTATACATTACCAGCTTTGGTGTATTCACTCTCAAATAACAATGAAAATGATATCTAGACTTTTTTCACTGGAATCAAATATCAGAAAACCTCAACACAATTAATTTATTTTTGTAGTCTCTGTAGTCTGCTTTCTTTCTTTCAACTACACTGTAGGGCTTTAGAGAAATGATTCAGACATTTACATAGCAACGTTACAGACAGGGTTCTCATTGGTTTAGGAAATGGAGGACAAGCCTCTAGGGAGGTCTGGGCATGTGCTCCCCAGGAAAGTTTGAAATTAAGAGATTCCGAAAATGTCATTTTACGCATTCTCTTGGAGGTATTTCCTTAAAAAAAGACAGAAAAGGTCAAAATGCCAAGAATTATAAAGGGATTACAAAAACTTTTTTTCAATCTCTATCCTACAACACTAGCCTAATTGAATTAAATGCACACAACACCCTGACCCCAAGCCCCATGTCTGGCTATAGCCTTGACTGGGCTGAGACAAAGACAGTCAAGGTTCAGTCACATTCCAAAAAACCCAGTCTGTTTTCTCAATTACTCTTTACAACTCACACATGTATTATTTCACGAACAGTAGGTGGCTCAGAAATCGAAGTAGCCAGCTTTCTGGCAGCCAGCACTTTACAGAAAATTCAAAGTGCGCATTCACCGTAAGGTCAGTGCATCAACAGTTAAGAGCGGTAGGAAAGGACTGGAATAAGATCACCCAGTTGGCACAGAAGGGGGAAAACTAGCATTAGTTTGTGGATAACCTATGCTCCTCCAGGGGCCATGGCGTTAAGTACGTAAGCAGCTAAGTAGCCATCACAATTTGATATGGGGCTTATGGTATGTATGGATGGTTTAGATCTTACAGTATCTCAGCAATCACTTTCAGTTCACTGCTGTTGGTGATGTGCAATCTGCACTAAGGCCAATTTAAGTTGGCGTTCGCAACCAAAGTGGTTATGTTGATCGCCAACTGGTCAGATCAATTGACCGAAATTTATTTTTCTTCAGACTAAAGCTACTCATTTTTAGACGATGATGACAACTGTGAATGAGGTCAACAAAGATAAAACAAAAGTACATGTACAAGATGACTTTATTTTTCTTAGTGTTTCGTTTGTTTGTTTCACAGCTGAACTCGATGAGTAAATTGGTTCGTCATAATCAATGTACATGTAAGCTTATTATTAAAGATATGGCTGCGTATGTGTGTACATGTATGCAAACGAACAATTGCATCTGTGTTTTAATGTTTAAGTCTGTTATTTTGTAGTCCTTGATATTCACCTCTGAAAATCATACTAAAACAATTACTCGCCTGAGTCAGGTTCAGTGAACATTAGTGAATCTTCACCATAACTTCTTTTTCGTGAATTTTCACCATTAGAAAAAACTAGATCATTGGATAATGCAATTTGAGAGTTTTCTTTGGCTTAGCCGTCGTGGGTTATGAGCCATTATACCATGCTTTACAGATATGGCAAACACATGTGTATTTTTTGGGGCATTTCTACTTTTATTTTAGTTCAGTTTTCTATATTTTGGTGCCGTTTTTTAATAAAACAATTATTCCACTCATGCTTGTTGGATATGGAATGATTATAGCCAACTACAGCTGTATGTACTACGCGCCTCGTTGGCTATCTATAATCTCATATTCAACGCTTGCTCAGGGAATAATTATTAAATGTTCAGTGTCTGAAGCGAATAACTGTTAGATAATCATCGTTGCTATGACAACAATCTAGACGGTTGTCACTGCAAATTCAATACGACTTTGCTGAAATTAATTCATACATGTACATGCCATTGTTTGAGATTTCAATATATCCCAAACGACAGATATAGAGAACAAACAACTGAGAGAGGGGTTGTATAATTAATTCTAATTATTATCAAATACGGATAAATAAGCTTAAGTCTCGCGTGCCTGATAAGACAGATAGATGCTTAAATGTGTGACCTGCACTGTAAATTACTCACCCGTCTATGATGTTTTCTGGCGGATAATTTTCATCAAACGATGTTGCAAGAGCGATACTTGCTCCAGCTTTACTCAGAGCAACATCAAACATATTTGCAAGGCTGTTTTCTGACGTGAAACTCGCTCAAAATGCTTTTGGAAGTGTATCAAAACATGTCAAAATTTCGCGACAGACGAATGGCACTGGGGCGAGTACCACTCATTGAATATGCGCAACTAAAACAAACGCTGGCAGATTGCGAGCTCATTTTCAAGATGGCGGATGACAAACGGGTGAAAACATAAAACATACAGTAGGTGTAGGTGTAGTATATGTTTCCTTTAACTACATTGTACGAGACAGTTATCTGCTACATTCCTTGATTTTTACCGCAATAGTTGCGGCTATAACGGCAAAGTCGAATCTGCAGACCAAGATGTAATGAAGAGGCTTCTAAATCCGTTTCTTCCCGATTTCGAGGTCTTTTCTATTCCACAATGCCATCGATTTCGGAACGCAATGTGGACGCTTGCAAAGGAGTGCACTGCAATACAGCGTCAGACAACAAATCGGAATACTGACTTGAATCTGCCTGCTTTTCATTCGAATTCGGGAAGAGATTTGCAAGTCACTCCGTCACGAGTCGATGAACTTCCACGGTCTTCAGAACTTCCGCTTTTTGCGTCAAAGAACGTGTGGACACCTACGTCATGTAAACTCCCCGAATTTGTAAACGAAAAAGAGTTGTGTACTGGGCCTTTCAAGACTGATTTCATTGACGCTGCAGCATGGAATGAAGCCCCCCAAAATAAAAACAACTTCTAATGGGACTGATCAAAATCAAAACATTGTTATCTCTGAATTCTCTATTTCACAAAATGTAGATTGCCACTTCACTGGATTGTTTACAACAGCAATCTAGCGATAGTTGTGAAGAACAACGCAATGAAGCTCATGTTAGCAATAAATTAATTACGACTTAAGCAGTTTCTAATTTTGTGAACTATATTGAAGTGGCTAAATTGG